GGCATGAAGCACAGCTGTGCTAACCGCCACCTGCATGGATGGACGCACACAGCCACCTCGCCCACCACCTGGGCCACCAATCAGCCTCCCTGTCCTTCTCACTCATTAGAAGATTCCTGACCGGATGTGGCTGTGCTCCCTGGAGGGGCCAGCATGCTCCTGTGGCCAGGCTGGAATCTCCTCCCCTGCAAGGCCCTGCCCGACCCCTGCCCATGGCTCCCACGGCAAGAACACAGCCCATCACGGTCAGGCAGGACACCAACAGGAGGAACAGGTCAGAGAGGTGGGCTCCGCTCATCCGTGGGGCTCTGTCCCTTATAGACTTCCCTGCTGTGGCCTGACAAGAAGGCCGGCTGCCACCCTGGCGGCACTTCCTAATTCTGTCTATTTCCTACTTCTATTTCTGGAAGGCAGGAAGAGCCCCCACTTGAGCAAAGCTCTTAGCTCCTATATTAAGAAATTGTATTTCCACCATAGAAAGCATTGTCAAAGTAACCGCCGAGCTAAAGCCAGCCCGAGAAATTGTATTTCAAATACAGGTTTGAAAAAGCCAAAGGAGAAAAATACAAGACATTGGAAGGAGCCATGAAACAACCTGGGATTTGAAGACCTTCTGGAATGTTCCTTCTCCTCCTCTGGTCCATGCTGGGTGTGGTGATGAGCAGTGCTTGAGAGGCGTGGGACTCTGGCTGAGCTTTCAGGACCAAAGCGACGGCCGCTCGCAGACAGCCAAGGGTGCCAGCCACTGCCTGGGCGATGTCTGCTCAAGCTCCACCCACCCTCCACGATCAGCAGTCTCCCAAGTGTTCTCCACCTGAGTTATCTGGAAGTTTCCTCACTTCTCTACTTTCCAGGGCAGCCCTTGTTGGCTGGCAGGACTGGTTTTTCCACTCTGGCTGGTGTCAGACACACTTGGAAGAATAAACGTCTAATGACATGTTTGTCAAGTAGTGCCCGAGCTGGAGCCCATGCCCCGTATCTCCCTGACAGCTGCTCTGTCAGCTAGCAAATCTACGCCGGTCAAAGCTTTCCAACCATTCCTCCTGCACCGCAGGAGAGCTGACTGCTGCCGGTGCCAATGAGGTGGAGACTGTCACACACCTTCCCGGGACACTATTGTGCTGCACAAACACACAGCGGGCCTCGCGGCAGGGCCAGCACACACAGAACCCGGCTCCACACCAGCTGGGCGAGGCCGAATCCAGGGCCTTTGAAAGGATTAACCATTCTAAACAAACACGAGCTGAGGTCACACAAGTCACAACAGGTAGAGGGTGTGAAAAGACACACCTAGTACACAAATAAAAAATAAAAAATACCATTACCCCAACACCCAAAAGTAGATCCTGTGTGGTTTTTTTTTTTAATATATATATATATTTTGAAACAGAGTCTCGCACTGTTCCCCGGGCTTGAGCACAACGGCACGATCTCAGCTCACTGCAGCCTCCGCCTCCCAGGCTCAGGCGATTCTCCCGCCTCAGTCTCCCGCGTAGCTGTGATTACAGGCGCACACCACCACACTCGGCACATTTTTGTATTTTTTTTTTTTAGTAGAAATGGGGTTTCACTATGTTGACCAGACTGGTCTTGAAATCCTGACCTCGTGATCTCCCGCCTGTCTTCCAGTGCTGGGATTACAGGTGTGAGCCACTGTGCCCAACTGACACTGTGTCTTCTTAAAATGTGGGTCTTTTTCTAAAGCATACTCAGAAGTATAATAAGAATGTTATCATTTTCAAACACGTTATCTTCCCATGATTTTTGAAGTGTGAGAAAGCTGGCCCTGCGTAATTTTGAGTATCATTGCTTTTCCTTCTGGCCGCCAATTTTTCTCAGCCAGAGCTGGAAATTAGGTCTGGAACAGTCTTCCCTGAGTGAGGCTGGTGGATTTGGGGAGTGGGAGAGGGGAAACAGGGCTATCACCCCACAAAGTCTGGGAGAAGGTGGGATGGGACAAATCCAGCTTAGGCTCTGGGGACACGCTCAGAGGGTGAGTCCTGCGGGGGGCTGGGGGGACTCAGCTGCAGTCATAGTGAGCCGAGTATTCCACATTTATTCGGAAAAGACATCGAGGAAAAGAGGTCAGTGGAAGCAGATCTAACTTTGGACGAAAGCAGTGAAGGCTGCTGAGGTCCCATCAGGGTCCTTGGCCCTGTGTGTGTCCCCTGAGTTATACGGAACAGGGATGGCAGGGACTTCTAAGATCCCAATGGGGAAAGAGGCCGGGGGAAAAAAGACTGTTCTGTGCCTTCTCTTTCCCATCAAAGCACAGTTGGGAGAGGACGCCTCCTAAGGAACAGTGCCAAGCTCACATGCAGGCCTTTAGGGAAAGTCATGGGGGGCTGGGGGAGGGACACACTTTGACCTCTCGGAGCACCTTAACATTTTCTGGTTATCTGTTCTGCCAGGAGCCTGGGGGTGGGGATGGGTTTGTTCAGGGCCCATTGCGTCCTGGTCCCTGGGACCTGTAAGAATCAATGGGGAAGGCTGGGCATGGTGGCTCATGCCTGTAATCCCAACACTTTGGGAGGCCGAGGTGGGCGAATCACTTGAGGTCAGGAGTTTGAGACCAGCCTGGCCAACATGGTGAAACCCTGTCTTTACTAAAAATACAAAAATTAGACGGGCATGGAGGCACGTGCCTGTAGTACCAGCTACTCAGGAGGCTGAGGCAGGAGAATCGCTTGAACCTGGGAGGTGGAAGTTGCAGTGAGCTGAGATTGTGCCACTGCACTCCAGCCTGGGTGACAGAGACTTTGTCTCAAAAAAAAATTTACCCATGCTTGCCCGCTCCTCCCGCCCCAAGATGCTGCTCTAGTGGGTCCATGTGGTTCCAGGGCCCTGCCTGGTTTGGGCCACTACCCAGTGACTCTGTGGGCCATGGCTGAGAAGCACTCCTGTAGTCACTCACTGCTGACCAGGATGGGGAGGGAGCAGCGCCTCCTGTGGGGCTTTTTCAGATGACACAGTCACCTACCCAACAGGTCCCAAACAGACCCAAGGTCCCTGCCCCCACCCTGGTCCCTCATCCCTCAGGGCCGCTAAGAAGAGCAGCAGGAGGGTAAGGGAGTCGCACATGCACTGGAAAGGTGGAGGTGCTACCCCTGAGTTGGGGACAGCATTCGATCACCCCTGCCACCTTGATCGCACACTAACAGAGCAAGGCCTTTCTACCACAGAACAGAAAAGAGACATATGTCTAAAACAAAGAAAAAGAAAATTTACAAAGATACAAGCTGAACACTCTGGAAAGATTTAGTGCTGGGCAATGTCAAGAAGCAAATTAGTCTCCCATTTCATAAGGTGATGGATGTGAAAAGACACCTTCCAGAAACCTCACCCTGGTCAGTTGCTGGACATTTCAGATGGAGAAAAAAACATTCAAACAACTGAAGAAAGTGTCTGCCAAGCCAGGTACAGCGCCTGATCGTTAGTTAACATGGTTAAGGGTATAAACGTGGACCTCTCACACCCAACATATTGACCCTTTCACCTCCCATGGTATGGCCTGGCATTTAAGAATGAGTGTCTTAGCATTAAGACAGGCTTCAGATGGCAATTTGTGATTTCTGAGTTGTTGACCTTGAACGAGTTTAGCCTCTCTTACCCTCATGTTCCTCAGCTATGAAACAGAGATAAAAGTACCAAGTTCACAGGTTGTTGTGAGGATTTTATGACATGATTTCATAAAGCTCTCAACCCTGTGCATGTGGTGCCTGGTACACACTAAGGGATTAACAAATATTTATTAACAATCATATCCTATGGGTCCTAGAAGCGGTGCAACTGCAGTGAAAACTCTGGCAGTATGTGCCAAGAGCCTAAAGACGTTCAAGCCCAGTAATCCAACTTCTGCAAACCTACATTACAGAAACAACCTTGGAATCGAGTATGAACAGATGGGAAGGAAATGCTTTCCGCAGGAGTGAACGACTAGAGGCAACCCAAATGTCCCACAGGAGAATAAAGATTAGGTCAATAACTGTACACAGTGCTCCTGCAGAAAATGATGTTTCTTTTGTTTCCGAGTGCTGTCCAATTTATGAATCACTTTTTGATCAAATAAGCTATTACATTGTAAACAAAATAAAACAAAATAAAATAAATGAAATGTTTCCCTTGCTCACAGGAGCTAGGTGGTGCCCTAGGTAAATGTCACCGATAGACGGTTAAGAGAAAAAAAGCAAGATACAACATGACATACACCTTATAAGTACAATAAAGTTAAAACGAAGCCCCTTAAAGCACAGAGAAGCAGACTAGAGGAGAGCATGCCAAAGCCTTCATTGTGCTTGTGTTTGAGATACGGGGATTCTGGATGATTCTTTTCCCTTCTTCCCTTTTTTAAAAGAAATTATTTTTTCAATTCTTTTCTTTAATAAACATGTATCATTTTTATAATGTAAAAACAAAACCAAATCCTTATGCTTAAAAGTCCTTTAACCTGGTTGGGCCCAGTGGCTCACGCCTGTAATCCCAGCACTTTGGGACGCCAAGGTGGGGAGATCACCTGAGGTCAGGAGGTGAAGACCAGCCTGGCCAACATGGAGAAACCCCATCTCTACTAAAAATGCAAAATTAGCGGGGCTTGGTGGCACAGGCCTGTAATCCCAGCTACTCAGGAGGCTGAGTAAGGAGACTCGCTTAAACCCAGGAGGTGGAGGTTGCGGTGAGCCAAGGTCACGCCATTGCACTCCAGCCTGGACAACAAAAGCCAAACTCCATCTCAAAAACAAACAAAAAAAAGTCCTTTAACCCAACATGAAGTGATGTCTCAATTGTAAAGATCTGTGAGTCCACTATAAATTTTGTATACGGTTCTTTAATCTTTAGAATTTGGGAATCCCAAGATACATTTTTATGATGAAAGAGCACCAAATGATTGGCATTTTATTTCCTTTGGTTGACAACCCCTTGCTCTTACATAGCCTAGGCACCCTGCAGGAGGAACATGGCAGGTCGCACCCAGGCAGGCATAAGCACAGCCCTGTCCTTACCGTTAGGCGTCTCCATGGCGCGTTCTGGACACACAGCTGACCCCTCCGTCCCCACACACCAGTACATGCTGGGTGGTCTATGTGACATGCCAGCCATCAACCTTTGCAGCAGCCGATCTTCCAAGGCAGGTCCTGCTGTTGTCACTGCCACTGCTGCTGCCCATGCGGTGCGTTAAGGCATGGAATCAGAGTCATGGCTGAGCAGAAAGCTTTCTTGTTCTGGTGGTGAAAAACATCATAAAATCAGAAAGCCTTTTTCATTCCCGTCCTCCTCCCCTGCAAATATTGACATGGGTTCATTCAGTTTTCCCTCTGCAACATTCCTCTTTGGAGTCCATCTAGCCGGCCAAGCCCATCAGGTATGGGCAGGGAGAAGGCAGGGCTCCCTATTCCATCTTGATGCTGGGCTTAAATCTTGTCTACCTGACAAGAGGCTCAAGGAAACCCCAGACAATTGCAAAACACATACAAGTAACAGCTTCAATCACTGTTCAGTCAACGCACACCCACTATCACCTGCAAGGCAACCAGGCCCTGTGTGAGGCTCAGTGGCACCAAGATGGCTAAAGGAGGCTCTTGCCCTCAGGGGCAGACTCCAATGGGGGTACGGCAGACATAGTTCAGGCTGGTCACAATACAAGGCCCTCCTTTCGCCCAGGGCCAGTTCTTCTGGAAGTTCAGAGGTGAGCATGTCATTCCAAAGGGGCAGTCAGGCAACAATCCCAAACACAGGAAATTTATTTATTTATGAGACAGAGTCTTGCTCTGTCTCCCAGGCTGAAGTGCAGTGGCACAATCTCAGCTCACTGCAATCTCCACCTCCCGGGTTCAAATGATTCTCCTGCCTCAGCTTCTCCAGTAGCTGGGATTACAGGCGCATACCACCATTCCAGACTAATTTTTGTATTTTTAGTAGAGACGGGGTTTCACCATGTTGGTCAGGCTGGTCTCAAACTCCTGACCTCGTGATCTGCCCACCTTGACCTACCAAAGTGCTAGGATTACAGACATGAGCCACTGCGCCACACCAAGACAGGAAATTATTACTGGTTATGAAGTCAAATTAGTGTGAGCTTTAGCAGAAAGCTAGATGATGGGGGTTAGCAGAAATGAACCTCATAAATTCTGCCCCTTTTGGCAATGTCTGGAGACATTTTTGGTTATCACAACTGGTTGGGGGGGCTGCTACAGTCGTCTAATGGGAAGAGGTCAAGGATGCTGCTAAACATCCTACAATGTACAGGACTGCTATCTGCAACAGAGACTCCTCTGGCCCCAAAAGCTCCAAGGTGGAGTTGGACTAATCTCTTAAACTAGTGACTGTGACAAACTGCCCAGACCAGGTGCTGCTCCTCTATGCTGGGCTCGCACTGAGCTTGGAGTCCCCGATGGGCACTCATGCCCATCCTGCTACTGTGATTGAAGGACCAGAGGGAGGGTAAGACCCAGACCCAGCTCAGGCCTGATACGAGGTACTACCACAAGAAATGCATGTGTGCCTACCAATGTCCTATATGTAATGGAGTACGAGGTAATTAGCACCCCCTTGTCTGTGTTCTCTGAGATAGACAACTCTGGAATGGGCAGTGATAGCGTAGCCAAAAATATATGGATTTTTAAAATCAAGTTTACATAAAAATAACGCCTAAGAGACTCTGTAAAGGCAAAAGCACAGCGTGGATGGCAAAGGTGTAGACTGCCTCTGTCACAGGTTAGCAGTATGACCTCCAGCTGAATGAATGTGTGTCTCACTTTTTCATCTGTTAAAAATAGACATCCATCCTTACACCCTGCTCTGCTGGCAGGGTTACTGTGTGAATTCAACTAAAGTAAAGTTTCTGCAGCGACTCTCTACGACGGGGCTGGGGTGGTCATTACCTGCAATACCAGCGTGCAGACTTGGAGGCCAGTGGATCTAATTAACAAGATCAGAGTATCAATGCTGGAAGGCAGATGCCCACAGTGGGTAGGTTCTAGAAGGTGCTGTGAGCAGTAGGGGCACAAAGTAAGGTACAGAACAAGGCTGTGGGAATGTCTCACCTAAAAGCCTAGAAATCAGGCACCTGGCCCAGGTGGACTGGACTCTTCAAGGCAGGGGAAGGTGGAGCTAGGAAAGCCAGGCTCCAGCAGCCGTGTGCATTCTGCACACGTTTCTGAGCCAAAGAGGGAATGGTGGAGAGAAACCGTGTGTGAGAAACACCCATATTTGAAGTTGGGAAGCCTCAAAAGTCCAAGGAGGAAAGGAAAAATGATCAATCTGGGCAAACTTTAGGGGATGATTAAAGCCTTATAAATAGCAAAACCTGATTTGGAAAATCAACTTGAGACAGAGAGGGCGAGCCAGCAACACAGAATCTGTTTTAAAATAAAGGTTCCAAATTACACATCCACATCCGGAAACTGAGAAGCACAGTTGCCATCTGCTTTCAAACACCTCTGCAAAAGAGCTACCACACACAACCAACATTTCGAAAATCCAAACGCTAGACATTCTTCCTGAAAACACAAGTGTCTTGCCATACAATGTTTTTAAGTTAAAAAAACAAATCTTAAAAATATTTTAAGCTAACCCTTGCCCAGCAGATTTTGTTCCCCTTTTTATTTTCAGTTTCTTTTTGAAAATCACTTTACCAGTGGAAGAGTCTGCCCCTGGAGCAGTTTTAAAAGTTTAATTAGTATTTTGGCTTACACTCTAAGGCAGAAGTTTTAAGATGAGGTAATTCAAATTTTACTCAATCTTTGCACTCAAACGGATCTTTGCTTCTTCCTGCTTCTTTTGGGTTCAGATCAGTGCCAACATATGATGGTTACAAGTTACATGTTTTCATTATACTTCCTAAAGAGGGCATCAAGAGGTTGTGTGCAGTAATGATGGTTTAAATGATGTTTCAAAACCTCATCAATTTCCTTTTGCCAACTATTTATGCCTGCATTAATGAATAAACCTAAATATTTAATGAAAAGAAGGCCAGGTGTGGTGGCTCACGCCTGTAATCCCAGCACTTTGGGAGGCCGCGGCAGGTGGGATCACTTGAGATCAGGTGTTCGAGATCAGCCTGTCCAACATGGTAAAATCCTGTCTCTGCTAAAAATACAAAAATTAGCTGGGTGTGGTGGCAGGTGCCTGTAATCCCAGCTACTTGGGAGGCTGGGGCATGAGAAACACTTGAACTGGGGGAGGTGGAGGTTGCAGTGAGCTGAGACTGCACCACTGCACTCCAGCCTGGGCGATACAGCAAGACTCCATCTCAAAAAAAAAGGAACCTGTCATTCATTCTATAAATGTCTTATTGAGTTCCGTCTATGAGGAGGGAACTTCATGAGTTTGTGAAGCTGATGGGGGAGCAGACAACTAAGTAATTGCTATAAAGTTTCTGACAGCAGAGAAACCTGAGTATTTTAGGAGGCTTGGGAAGGACTGTTGATATTGAAGAGTTAGAAGACCCTTACCAACAAAGCATTCTAGACATGCTCATTCATATCACCCAACTTCTTTTTAAACCAAAATCCTGGTCAAAATGGTTAGCTCATGATTCTAGAAATCTTGAGTGCTATTTGCATCCCTTACTACCATTGGCTTGCCAGCAAAATGTGTTTAATGGGTTTGTGGGCATCAAAATACTTTGAAGGTGCAGGCCAGAGGAATATGTTGTTCTCAGTCCCAGATGACCACCAAAAGCCTGGGGGAGAGAAGTGTTCCATGAGTCTAAAACCACAGGTAAGTTAGGGCTATCTGTTCCCCATCCAGTCACTCTACCACCGAGCATGGGGTGTCTCTCTGAACAGTGATGGGAATGAGAATGCAGCAGTAAGCAAGACAGACTAGTCTCCGATTCCAGGAGCTCCAGTAGAGACCACAAGGTAATTAAGGAGAAATTAAACAGATAAAGGAGTACACAGTGGGGACTGCAGGGAGGCTGCAGAGTGAGGGACATTAGAGAGAGCATGCATTTTCAGAGGGTGACCAGCAAAGGTTTCCTGAAGCTGTGTGAAGAGTCGGGAGGCAGCAACACAGAGTTCAGGTCAGCAATGGCCTGGTGGTCTGAGAAAGCAGAGGCTGGATCAGCTGGGGCTGTGAGTGGAAGGAGGTCTCCTGGATTGCATGCCAATTGCAAGGAAAAGCTACTGAAGGATTCCATAAAGGGGACTGATATGATCCGATTTACCCATTTAAACACACACGCACACACACGCACACACGCACACACGCGCACACGCGCACACGCGCACACACACGAACGAACGTTTATGTGGGGAGGGGGAACTGTAATCCTACAGGAAAGAGATGCTGGTACTCTGGAGAAGGGGTTGGGGGGGCGTAAGAAAAAACGTGACGGGCCAGGTGTGGTGGCTCATGCCTGTAATCCCAGCACTTTGGGAGGCCGAGGTGGGCAGATCACAAGGTCAAGAGATTGAGACCATCCTGGCCAACATGGTGAAACTGCATCTCTACTAAAAACACAAAATTTAGCTGGGCGTGGTGGCACACATCTGTAGTCTCAGCTACTTGCGGGAGGCTGAGACAGGAGAATCGCGTGAACACGGGGGGCAGACAGTTGCGGGGATCACGCCACCGCACTCCAGCCTGGTGACAGAGTGAGATTGTCTCATAAAAAAAACTCTAAAATTAGTGTGGGGAAAAAAGGGCACAGACCAGGACACATTTTAGAGGTGGATCCAATGGACGAATGTTTTTGATCTGAGCTCCTGAGCTGACTGTGAAGCCACTCCCAGAGACATTGACATTTGGGAGAAGGACACTGACATTTTGGCTGACCGCAAAACCTCCTTTAGCAACAAATCAGGTGTGAGGCTAGTTTGCTGTTATTTTTGCTTTCAGGACATAGGCAAAGATGAAGAAAATCAAGTCATAAGAGGCATTTAATGTTAACGTTTTCCAAAACTGTGCATGTTCTTGGTGTCTCTTTAACGTCTGGGCATGCCGATGCCCTGTGAGTGAGTGGCAACCTCTAAAATTAGTGTGGGCAGTGAGACCTTTGCTGAAAGCTGAACGCCCCTGTTTCTCTACCTGTTGCAGGGGATGTGTTTGTGGGAGAAAAACTTTGCGGCCTCATACTGTGAAGGGGTAGGCTGAGATGGCCACAGCGGTCCTCAAATTCTCCACCGTCATCTCCCCGCTGACCCCGGCCTTCCTAGGCTTCCTCCCCTGCGTCCCTGCCTGCCTGGAAGGTCCGCTGTAGGCTGCAGAGACCACGGTAGACAGAGCAATGGTATCGCTATCAGCCAGAGAATACCCTAGGGCAAGAAACATAACCCAGACACTGAGGAGGGCGAAGCCTCGCTGCGCCACCCCGCAACACCAGGACGCCCCCGAGCAGCGAGAGACTCCTGGGGAGTCTCTTGCCAACACCCTGGCACATGCACACCCGCGCTCACACTCCAGCAGCTCCCCGATAAGGACGGGGTTTGCTCCAAAGGCAGAGGAAACTTATGGACGCCCTGGTGTCTTTCCCTACTTCTGTTTCCTGCCTCTGCTTCCCTGCGTTCCCGACCCCGTCCAGTACGGGGTTTTGGGGTTCACGGCTCGGGCCCCGCAGACCCGCCTCCCACAGGCTGCCTGGGCTCCGGGCGTGGCGGGAGGCAGCAGGGGCGTCAGACGGGGGTCGCCCCACGCCCTCCGCGCCCCTCGGGCTACTACGGCCCCTGCGCAAGGGCCACCCATGCCCGACCACGCGACTGCCTGGAGCTCAGGCCCGCGGGCAGGCAGAGGCCAGGGCTTCCCGCGGACGCCGGGCGCCGGCCCAGCTGGGTTCCTGGCCCGGCCGCAGGAGGCAGCCAGGCCCCCGGGGTGGGGGGCGCGGGCAGGGGCAGCACTTACCTGCGACGGCTGCGGGGCCGGGGTGCGGGCGCTCCGGGACGCGGGGCCGGACGGACACTGGCGGGCCCGGGCTTGGCACTCCCACCGCCGTCTGCCCCCCGCGCCTCGGGCCGCGCGCCGGCGCCGGGCCCAGACGCACTTCCTCAATCCTGAGGCCGGCGGGCGGGGAGGGCGGGCGGTGCGAAGAGCGCGCAAGGCAAGGCCGCCGCCGGCTCTCCCCAGGATGGGCGCGAGGCGTCCCCTCGGTGGCCGCCTCAGTTTCCCTGGCCGTACAACGCAGGCTATCACGCTCACTGTTGGTGCCCCGGGAGACGCCGGGGCCCGCGGGCCCTTCTAGTACCAGGTTCGGGCACCCGGCTCCCTTCACGAGGGTCCAGCGCGGCGAGGAGATTGGTCGGTGCGGCGCTCAGCCCCGCTTCCACTCTCCTCCGCTCTAGCGGCAGCCACCTCGGCAGACCAGCCCCTCACTTGCATGGGGCCCCTATTTTCTGGCCGTAGAATTTAAAAAGACGGAATATTCATTTGCGTGCCGCCCTTTACAAGGCAATATAGAACACAGTTCTAAAGCGTTAACGATTTGCAATTTACACAACTTCCATCACATGGATTTTACTAATTCAATTATGGATGGATGCAAAGATTTTGCTGTTTGGTGAATCACATTTAATTGTCGGCTTTGGGGGGAATACATAAAACTTGAAAAATTGGCGATGTATCGTGTTTCAACCTATTCTAAAGGAGGCATCAGGCTGCTGGGGCTAATCCCGGAACGCAGACCATAAAGATCGGCATCCACGCTGTAGGCGGGCCTCCCCGTGAGCTCCACGTGTCCACCCAGGAAAATGGCCTGCTCGGGAAAAGCGGAGGGCTCCACGCCCTCCAGGACCAGCGCCCTGTAGGCGCCTCTCCTGGAATGTTATGACTCGCGTATTCCCAGGATTTAGCGCCAATCTCCCCAACCTTCACTGCCAAGTCACAGCACCCGGGCAGCTGCAGAGTTCCCACACCACCTCCCGAACACCGCGGGGCCGTTTCCTCGAGCGGCCCCTTGGGTCCCTGTTTGGCGAGGGGACCACCGAGCAGCTTTGCTGTGCTCCCGGGAGGCTATTCCTGCCACTGGGCGACCTTCCCAAAGGGTGGACGCAGTTCTGCAATCCTGTCCTCACCCCTGAGGGCCCCACACCAGTTTGCGGGAGCCCGCAGTGTGATTGCTACCGATAAGCTCCCAACAATTGCAGGGCGTGGCGTCCTCAGGGCTGAGTGGGCCCCGCGACGGCGGCGCAGCTCCTCCAGGAAGGGCAGCCCCGCCACCTGGCGCCACCGGGAGGGAGCGCGGGCCCACGGCCCGGGAGGACGCTGGGGGAACGCAGCCGAGGCAGACAGGGCGCCTCCACTTCCCTTCAGAATGAGCTTGGGAATAGGCTAGGAAGATACATTGCCAGCATACCATGGTTTATGTATTCCCCCCGAAGCTGACAAAAAGGATTCATCAATCAGCAAAATCTTTGCATCCACCCATAATTGAATTAGTAAAATCCAGGTGACGGAGAATGTGCAAATTGTACATAGTTAACATTTGACACAGATGACTTGTATTCCGCTCCTTATGTCCCCAGCATTTAATTCTAGCCATTAGGTATGCATTAGCCACAGCTTCGCATAGGAAGGTTATTGCAGGTCAGTTAAGACGCCTTTCCACTCCGTCCTAAGGCTCGCTGACCCGTAATTCTCTAGCTTTTGCTGGGAATCCCACCCGGGTTCTCAGCACCCCAGGCTGGAATGACCCCTCCTGAGGTGGGTGGGGTCAGCTGGAAGCCACCTCCCTGAACTGACTTTTCTGCCTTTTTGAAGGCACAGTGGCTGAAAGCCTCTCCTCAGGAGTTTTCTAGTTGTGTTTCTTCAGCCCAGTACGCAGCTTTCCTCGGACAGTCGTCCTTGGGCAACTTCCCATACGCCCTTCAAGCTCATGCCTAGGAGCGGGGGGCAAAGACATTAGAAAGGCCTCCTCCACCAGCAGGAGAAGCTAGGACATCCCAAAGGGCCCACTTGTAGAGAATGTGCCAACCCCCACATGCACACCAGGGCACACAAACGTATGTGTGCAAACACTGTGAACAAGCACCTGCACACGCATACCACACCCTCCGATTATCCCCAGAATGGCTGGGGACATGTTCCAGGACACCAAAATGAGGGAAATTGTCATTCCCCTATAGTTTTCTGCTCACATTTGGATTGAGAAATAGGGTGTCTCTAAATAATGTGTCTACATTCTCTTAACATAAGTGTGTATGTGATGAGATATGTTCCCAGCCTCCCTTAAGTTTTTTCTTAAAGGGGTGGTGCTTTGCCACCCATGGTCAAAGTGACCTGGGCTTTCCACATCGAATGCAGGGGCTGAGCTTGGAGGAGCTACCCCAGTGTGAGCAATGATCTCGATCCAACGGCAGCATCAGCTCACAACGTGGTGATTGAGGCTTCTTGGTTAGAAGGTTTAGAAACTTTAGGTCAGTTAAACCCAAATAGATCCTTTCTCTAGATCCTCAGAAGAAAAAGTGACGAAAACAGACACTTGTGCTCACCGTCAGGGGCACAGTGCTGTCCCTTAATCCTCATGCAGTCCTCCCCACCATTTCCCACGCTGACGTCCTCACTGCGTTATGATGAAGGGTGGCTCAGGCAGCCTAGAAGAGAGCTGAAATTCAGCCAGCTACGACAGGGAACCTCCGAGGCCCAGCTCCATGCCTGGTCAGCCCCCAAGCCCACAGAAATGGGTTTCCTACTCAGGCAAAGCACTGGGCCTGATTGAGCAAATGTAATTTTGTGCTCACATTATTGATCCTGCTTCATTATCAGTCGTTTTGTACAGGTCTCAGAAAGAGAAAGGCCTGTCATAGAATTGAAATGAGTTTGGTCTTTAAATGAAAAGCATAATGTTTCTCAAATATCCAATTTTATTTTATCATTCTCACATTGTAGAACATGGTCTGCAGTTAGGATCAGAATTCCCAGGCCCATAGATTTTTAAACCACACCACAGGGGTAAACCTTAAAAGAAGTGAAACCTAACACTATATAGATTTCGATTTCTAAATACAGTATATTACAGAAGGTTAAATATACCACCTCTGTGTACTTATAACTATAAAAAGATACATTAACTATACCAATTATAAATAATGTAGCATTTCATATTAAAGACATTATTGTACAATGAAAGAATAGGAACCCTCTAATGTATTGCTATCAAGGTTAGTGTCTATAGCTACTTGAGATAAAATACTGAAAATTCAGTGTATGAAGTCAAATCCTGATTTAACAAGTTATTGGTAGTATAAGTGATAAGTGTTAGCTGATCAAGAGAAGGTAAATGTGGTAATTCATATCTCTGACGAGGGTGATCGGTCCATTTTATACATGGTTTTCCTTATACACACACTGGTTCTGAAACAGGGCTTCATTATATTATTGCCCTCTCCAACTTAATTTGCAAACTTAAGCACCACTTTTCCAATGAGAAAAGTACTAGTTAGTAACCATAAAAGTATCTGAATAACACGTTTGTGTTTTTGTTTTTAAAGCTATATGGGAAGACATTCAGTTTCCCAAGTTAAAACATGAAATTGCACATCATCATTTGGATACCTAAAGAGGAAAAATTCACAACCTGCCAGTGAAATCCTCAGGCCACTTGGATAAAGACCCAGGTCCTCCATGGAATCCAGGTGTTATTTACTAACTAATCAGAAATTAGTGTCAAAATAGGACTTAAAAATAACAAGGCTGTGTTATCACAGCAGTCTTTCCAGTTGTGTATGCCTTACTAATGTACAATGGATAACAGGACTAGAGAAAAGGAAAATTACATAGACTTATCATAAACCATTAGTGAGTATGATAAAAATGCATGATGTGTTAAAGCGAATTATGACTCTGATTTGTCCAAAGAGGGGGTGGTTAATTATCCTAGGATTTGCTATGCTGTCCTGGTGTTAGAAGATTGAATCTTTAGCAGCAAAGGTAATATCAACAATATTTTCTGCTTAAGAAAGTGCCTTGGTTAAGGTAGACCACGATATTGTTTTGACTAAGCTCTCTGGGCCACTGATTCTGTCATATTCCAAAGGCTGTATTAGTTTGAAGCTGCGTCTCACGGTCCAGGTCAATATGCAGTCCACAAAGACCCACACCTGTACACGCCCAAAGCCTCTGGCACCCTTCCATGGTATGCATTTCCCAAAAGTTTCCCACTGTGAAATTAAAACACACACACACACACACACACACACACACACACACACACACACACAAACTTAGTGTGAATCCTTTCCCATAGAATGGTCCCACCTTTCCCTCGGAAAGAGGTGTGGCTTGCTCTTTGAGCGGGTCCACCCTGAGGAGACCACAGGTGCAACAGCCCTGCTTTCAGAAGACGCAGGGGTTTTTCCCCACATTCTTACTGGAGTTAGATTTGCCGAAGCATTTTAAGCAACTGCTGACACTTCAAATACCACTCCCTGTTAACAACGCCCTGAGTTTCTCACTGTCTCTGGGATCTGGTCTTAAGGTTAAAAACAGAAACGGCCAACAGCTCCCTCCTCAGGCGGGACTGCGATTTCACACACAACATATGGGCATCCCCAGTTTGGTCAACAAACACGCGAGTGAGAGGAAGACGGCAATATTCAACTCCAGTAGATATAAAACCTCCAGAAGAAAGTGTCCTGGGAAAGTCAGAAATCTCATTTCTTCTGCAGCACATTTCATCTGCCACATTCTGCTGTCCGATGTTTGAGGAAGGAGCCCCGCTTTTCCTTCAGGGGTTCTTGTCGCCAAGTTTGATGGTGACAGTTTTCACTTCTGTGTATTCAGCCAAAGCATATTCACCTCTGTGATCACAGAAAAAAGGAAAATTCAAAATGGGCATGTTCCTTAGCCGTTGTGTAGAAACTGTTCTGATGCTTCCTCATTCCATCAGGCCATTGGAGGTTTATGCAAAAGGCCAAAATGGGATGACTTCATGGAATAATAGCCAAGACTGAAATACCACAGTAAGGGTTAGTAACTGCATATGTGACTTGAATGTAAATATCAAGGTTTTTTTGTGTGTGATGCTTTTGAAATAGCCAGGACTAGGGGTTTACCTTTGGAGAATGAAGGGGATTAAGAAAATATTAAGAGGCGAATTCCCTGGGGTGGAGATGGAGAGCAAAACGAGAGGGCCTGATGTATGTAGGGGTGGGTGTGG